GCCGAACACGTTTTCATTTATTTTGTATTACGTAAATAAATACGTTACAAACATTCTTACTTGTTGTTTCTTATATCTAAAGAAACCCGCAACAGTATATTCATTATTATAAATTTTGAAATATAACCTAATGATTTTTTTTCTGATGGGGACTAGGAACTTGAAGTTGACACGCATTATCATTTCCTTTATGTTACTCTAATCTCCTATCGTAACACGTTATGTTATGTCATGCTATACTATGTTACATCATATTATGCTACTGGTCACGCATGGTTATTTATATGAATATATGCCTGCGTGCTATGAGAGCCTGCATCGGCCAAACGTTGAGTTCATTGAAATATTTTCATTCAAACCCGTTCGTAAGATGTCAGAGAAGAAACAAGATTTCAGTGGAATAAAAAGTATCCGGATTAATCTTTCAAAAATGCATCGAATATTTGCTGAATGAACATGTCTGGCAGGAAAAAATTTCTTAAATTCACGAGATTAAATTAATTTGAAAAACAGAAACTTGTACGTAATATTATTTCGTTTTGCAGACCTGCATCAGGACCACTGTTACTCTAATGCAACAATACTGAATGTTGTTCAATAGTTGCTCCACTGTCGTCACCACCACTACTTTTTCTATCTCCTGAAAAATTAACATTAAAAATTTTCCACATTAAAACCTCTGAGCACAAACACGTATTGCGTGACTGCAAAGCTGAAATGAAAATTGCCTTCAAGTTCATTTTATCAGTAAAAATATTTTTTTTCTGCTGCAGTTTGTTGTTGTTCCAATTGTTTCACCACAGCAGTCGTTTTACGCTTAATTTTTGACTGTCGATTTTTACCTGAACGTCAACACTTTCGTATGAATGGGCAAATACGTTGAAACTCATTTTGAAAAAGTTCGCTCGTCCTAACTAGAAACCTATTGGTTGTGTGATATGGAGAAAAAAAATTTGAATTCTTAGTTATGTTTTGAACTAATCTACAGCTTCATCGTGCAATAACATGCTGTGAATTTTAAGTAAATGATAACTTTTTAATACCGTAATGTTTTTTGAGCATTTTGCATCAATGCATACATCAAACATAGGGATGCAAATCTCATAAACATGCCTCTGTTTATCAGTGCACGCAAGATTAATGAACAACTCCCAACCAATTTGCAATTGCGTCACGTTTTTAAAATCTCAGAACGTTCGTAGAATGTTGCAAGCCAAAGCTCCTCCCATAAATCACGTTCAGATCATTAAGCATTGAAGCCCATGAAATTAAATGATCAGTTCTATCTGTTGAATTTTAATGAAGACCTTCCCCTACCCAACAAATTTGTATCTCTCCTCCCCAACAATTTTGTATTTCCCTCTCAAAACACTTCCAAACAAACTCAGTCAACGTGATATTTTAATCTCCCTATATATTTACTGAGGTGTCATCATCATCTTTGTTACCATCATCATCATATTTTTACATCTTTATCATCTCCACAATTATTGTCTTTATCATCAACATTACCAATTATCTTCATCATTATCATCATCACCATCTTCGTCAACACGCACATGATGATATTGTCGTCATCATCGTTAGTGTGATCACCACCCATCAAAATTGCGAATAAAATGATTAAAATTTAATAAATAACTATTTATTAATATCTCATCATTATCTTCATCATCAACATAGATGTTATTTAAATAATTCGTTAATAACATTGAAGTAATAATGAATTGAAGTTACGTCAAGCCTTTCAAATGGCTGACGACGATGTTGTTGTCCTTTCAGTAAAAATATTTAATAACCACCACCAATGAATTCTCATCCGTGTAAAATGTTAATATTCGGTGCGGAACTGTTTTAATAAATTCAATTAATTAAAAACTTTCAATTATAATATAAACATTTGAACAATTTTTATGAATAAAATGATGTGAAGAGGAATTAAACGATTTGTGGCCTGGGGTTGTTTGTTGGTAGTAACATTTGGAAGTGCAAATTAGAAGTAATGGATGTTTGTTATTCAACTATAGTTCTGTATCAATTCCTCCAACATTCAAACGCTCTCAACAATAAAAAAATTTTTATTAAAAATCAAACAATAAATAATTC